TGCTTCAGGGCTGCAGTCCTCCTCAGGTGGGGAGATCAGCCACTAGATAAAGAATAAACAGGTGGCGCACACACCTAGTGTTACATACACAGACCCGAGTTATGGGGCATGCATAATAAATTTGTGCTTTTACAACCGTGGACCATCATGGTGATCCGTTTTCATCCGTTTTTCCATATTGATGATACCTCTCAAGGTATCAACAGAGGTAACAACAGCAAGGTTCTTACCATCGGTCCACCATACCCACTACACATCTGTACCAGTCTAAGAGGCTGGTCAGCAGCTCTGAGGAAAGGGACTCGTCCCCGAAACACATCAGTCATTTGACCGCACTGACAGTTGGAACACCTTGCTTGCCGTTGTGGCCATCTTCATAATGCAAATGCTTTTTAGATACATTCTTCGTCTGTGAGTATGTTTTTATTCTTTATACCTTTGAATAAACCTTGGATAATGCACTAGGTGTGCGCCACCTGTTTATTCTTTAAACCCTTCACGCCAGATCGTCCTGGCGTAAAGAGAAGTTCCTGCACCGGGAGGTGGGCGGGACGGGGCTTGGTGTCATGTGGCCGCTGTGATGTCACGGCCAGTCACATGATCGGGAAAGGTCCCGATCGCAAGAGCGGACCGGGACCTTTCCGGGAGTACCGTGCAGGGCACGCGCTCTCAGCACATATGTTTTTTGTTACATGAACGCAAATGGGCGGCCGCTCGGCGTCTAGGCCCAGACGCCGGTAGGCCACACATTTCTGTGCGACGGCGTGAAGGGGTTAACTACCGTAGCAAAAACTGATTTTTTCCGTTTATATCTGTGTTTCACCTGGTCCGTTTTTCTAACTGGATAAAAACAGGGCTTTGATCTGTTCCAAAAAACAGATGCGGATGTAAACAGTTGATCAAAAGTTTGCATCTATTTTTCCAAATGCACTGATGTCCATTTTTCATCCCTTAACGGTTGGATGAAAAAATAGACAAACAGAACATCCATGTGAAAGAGACTGAAGGTCTCTTTCACATGTGCAGATAGTTTGTCAGTTTTTCATCCATCCATTGAGGGATGAAAAATGGACATCAATGCATCTCTTTGGAAAAATGGATGCAAACGGATCACCACGATGGTCCACGTGTGTAAAAGCACAAATGTATTATGCATGCCCCATAACTCGGGTCTGTGTATGGAACACAAACAATGCAACAAAAAGCTCAGCTCTAAGGCAGCCAATCTACATAGATTAAGGCAACACAGGAAGCCACAGTCTTGTGTAACCCATCATTATTTGCCTACTTGTGAAGTATTACCACCGATAATACACAGCAGTGAAACACAATAGGAGAGCAGTAATAGTCACATCTAGTGAGATGATTTACTATTCTCTACAGCAGAGCAGGACCAGTATATACTGTATTCTCAAATCAGAGCTGACCACAGGCCTTTGATAAATTATATTTGTTTCTGCACTAATGTTGTTATATAAAATACGAGTGAAAGTTTCTCAATGTGAAGCATCCGTTAAATGTTCCTCCAAAGTAACTCATTGTTGTAGATGATAGTGGTATTTATTAAAAGTGAAGTGGTGGGTTTTTTTTCCCCCCAAACTATACTTATCTAGGTGGATGCTGCATCTGTCCCCCACCAGCTCTAAGGGTGAGAACTCAGCGATCACATGACCGCTGATCGCGGAGTTCTCACCTGACTGTGATCAGAGATACTGCTGCTGTCTGCTCTACCCCCCCCCACTGGAGCACTGGGCTGTGGAGGGGGAGAGAGTGGCTGACTCAGGAACTCAGCAGACCACTGAGAGGTGAGCCAGGTGCTACTCTAGACTCTGGGTGGATCCTGACTTTAGAGTCGGGATCTTTTCCCAGCTTGGACCAGCTCAGTGACTTCTGCCTGCTGTCAGTTGAAACCGGGTCCCAGGGGTGCAGAACGAACTGAAATCCTGTGATCCACAAAAGTACAGCCAAAGAGACAAAACAGGCAAAATTCTTGCAGTAAAAAACTGCAGGGAAGGTGTATGCGATCGGGAGTACCAAGATGGCGGCTGCCATCCGTACCGGATATGACTTCCCCACACTTCCCTCCTACACGTTACGTCACGGGTCACGAGACTTCCACTGTTCATTAAGTAGCGCAGCACACTTTCACTCGTTTATAAGTAAATGTTATATACTTTCCATGTCAGTGCAGCTTCAAGTGTGACTTGGCTGACATCTGTGCGACTTCATGAACAGAAATCTATGCAAAGGCACAAGGGGGGGGGGGGCTGTGCAGGAATTTTTTTTTTCAAATTGGTGTGGCACCACAAAGTCGGAGTCGTACCGATTTGATCGGTTCCATTGCACACGGTAGAGTACGACTTGTCATGTGATTTGAAATTATCAATAGCATGACAAGTTGTACCAGTGAGAACCAGAGCTAAAATATCTACATGTTCCTTAACCACCTCATGATGGAAGGTAAACCAAGTTCTGAACTTAGTTTTGCAAAACTGACATGTGTTAGTAAAAAACTGTACATCTCATCACAACTACTTAGCATATCTAGATAGATTACACCTTGTTTGTTCCAGGACAAATTAGGCTTCATTTGGTGGTAAATGGTAATGCTCTTTCCATGGATCGGCTGTGTCCAAGGGACGCGGCGCACTCCGGCAGCCGCACATGCGCGGTGAGAATGGGAGGACTTCATATGACGTCCTCCCAGAACGAGAGAACCACCTTGTGTCCGTCATATTACTATATGGTGGGCGGGAGGTGGTTAAGGGTGTGTACACTTATGCAACCATATTATTTTAGTTTTTTATTTTTACTTCCCTCCACCTAAAGATAAATCATTTCAGAACTTTTTCCACCTTTTTAATGTGACCTATAAACTGTACAACTCAGTTGAACAATAAACTGAAATCTTTGTCTCATTTCTTACATCACACAAACCTGACATTTTAACATGGATGTGTAGACTTTTTATATCCGCTGTAGAGTGCAGCACTCAGGAGTAATGAATACAGTGCAGCAGTCAGGAGTAAGAATTGTCACAGATTGCAGGGGTCAGTAATAATGTACAGAGGTCAGCAGTAAGCATTGTACGGTGTGCAGAGGTCAGGAGTAAGAATTGTACAGATTGCAGGGGTCAGTAATAATGTACAAAGGTCAGAAGTAAGCATTGTACGGTGTGCAGAGGTCAGAAGTAAGAATTGTACAGATTGCAGGGGTCAGTAATAATGTACAGAGGTCAGATGTAAGCATTGTACGGTGTGCAGAGGTCAGAAGTAAGAATTGTACAGATTGCAGGGGTCAGTAATAATGTACAGAGGTCAGAAGTAAGCATTGTACGGTGTGCAGAGGTCAGAAGTAAGAATTGTACAGATTGCAGGGGTCAGTAATAATGTACAGAGGTCAGATGTAAGCATTGTACGGTGTGCAGAGGTCAGGAGTAAGAATTGTACAGATTGCAGGGGTCAGTAATAATGTACAGAGGTCAGATGTAAGCATTGTACGGTGTGCAGAGGTCAGAAGTAAGAATTGTACAGATTGCAGGGGTCAGAAGTAAGAATTGTACAGATTGCAGGGGTCAGAAGTAACACGTAGCAGCCAGGAGGAGAAGTCAGAGCGATATAGGGATGCCACATTGGTGTACTGCTTCTCCCCTCTCTGTCCAGTCACAGGGTGGGGAGGAGACCTGACATTTAAAATGTGAAACTTACACAACAAAAGATCAGGTCCATCCCAATGCAAGGAAAGACTGCTTTGTGGCCGAGCTTTATAGACTCTATAAGCAGGGAACGGTGCGGTGTCACTACAGACAGGGAACGGTGCGGTGTCACTACAGACAGGGAACGGCGTGGTGTCACTACAGACAGGGAACGGCGTGGTGTCACTACAGACAGGGAACGGCGTGGTGTCACTACAGACAGGGAACGGTGTGGTGTCACTACAGACAGGGAATGGTGTGTTGAACTTGTCACTACAGGCAGGGAGCGGCGCGCGATGTCACTACAGGCAGGGAGCGGCGCGGTGTCACTACAGGCAGGGAGCGGCGCGGTGTCACTACAGGCAGGGAGCGGCGCGGGTACTACAGGCAGGGAGCGGCGCGGTGTCACTACAGGCAGGGAGCGGCGCGGTGTCACTACAGGCAGGGAATGGTGTGTTGAACTTGTCACTACAGGCAGGGAACGGCACGGTGTCACTACAGGCAGGGAACGGCGCGGTGTCACTAGACAGGAAATTCTGTGTTGAACTTGTCACTATAGACAGGGAACGGCGCGGTGTCACTACAGACAGGGAACGGTGTGTTGAACTTGTCACTACAGACAGGGAACGGTGCGGTGTCACTACAGACAGGGAACGGTGCGGTGTCACTACAGACAGGGAACGGTGCGGTGTCACTACAGACAGGGAAAGGTGCGGTGTCCCTACAGACAGGGAAAGGTGCGGTGTCACTACAGACAGGGAAAGGTGCGGTGTCCCTACAGACAGGGAAAGGTGCGGTGTCCCTACAGACAGGGAAAGGTGCGGTGTCCCTACAGACAGGGAAAGGTGCGGTGTCACTACAGACAGGGAACGGCGTGGTGTCACTACAGACAGGGAACGGTGCGGTGTCACTACAGACAGGGAACGGCGCGGTATCACTACAGACAGGGAACGGCGCGTGTCACTATACACAGGGAACGGTGCGGTGTCACTATAGGGAATGGTGCGGTGTCACTATAGGGAATGGTGCGGTGTCACTATAGGGAATCGTGCGGTGTGTCACTATAGACAGGGAACGGCATGGTGTCACTATAGACAGGGAACGGCGTGGTGTCACTACAGGGAACGGTGCGGTGTCACTACAGACAGGGAACGGCGTGGTGTCACTACAGGGAACGGCGTGGTGTCACTACAGGGAACTGTGTGTCAGTGTTTGCACTGGAGGTCCAGCAGGAAAGGAGGGGGATTCACGTTTTAGTGGACCATGACGTCAGGAGGTGGTGGCCCCCGGAGTCGTGTATAATTACCGGTCGTCGCTGGCAGTGATGACGCCGTCCTCTCTCGGGATGAAGCAGGCGGAGGTGACCTGCTCCCGGTGTCCGGGTATCTTGGTGAGAAGTACAGGGCCGCGCGGAGACCGGGAGTGGATCTCAGCCGCCATAGCGAGTCATGTGACCAGGACGGGACCCTAGCTACAGTGCATGTGATAGCAGCGCACAGTCACTCGGCCTGAGCCGCAATGTACCGTGTAGCGGCGCCTCGTCGTTTCCAAGTTCCGGCGGTGCAGAGCGACGTGGCGCTTTTATACAGTGTAATAGGTGAGGTGTTGTAATCCGCCTGCCTGGTATGTAAATAGTCGTAGGTCGGCGCTGAGGGCTCAGTCATGTCATGATATCTGCTATAGACAGCCACCATTTCCAGACACACGTGTGTTCTGCATGGCAAGGTCCACAGCATTGTGACCACACCAGAGCAGGCTTCTGTGATAGGAGGGCTGTGAGCAATGACAGTTTATGAACACAAAGCAACAACATTTCACCTTCATATAGTAGTTGTATGAATAAAAAGAAAGGCAGTCCCAGCAGCAAGAACTAAATGCAGAGTTTTTCTTTAGTTTGGACAAAGTAGTGCAGGGTTGGAGCCTCTGTCAGGTTTTGTTTTGAGTTTTTTTGCCATCTGTGTCCTATTTGGGTAGGTTTTCCGTCACTTCCTGTCCCATAGCCAAAACAGGAAGTGAGGAAACTCCTCCAAAGTGATGTAGTCGTTAGTAGTCACCAGAACCAGTGTCCTCATTGAAAGATTTCAACTCTGTTCCTGTTCTGGTGACTACCCAAAATTTGGGATTTACTTTCACATTCAGTGATAATAATAATTACCCTCCGGAAGATTTACCCCCACTTCCTGACCCGGCCATTTTTTGCTATGTGGCGCTGCATTACTTTAACTGACAATTGCGCGCTCATGCAAAGCTGTACATTAATGAAATCTTTGTCATTTTTTCCCTATAAATAGACTTTTCTTTTGGTGGTATTTGATCACTTCTGAATATTTTATTTTTTGCACTATAAAAAAAAACACTGACAATTTTGAAAAAATAATTTTTTTACTTTTTGCCATAAAACATATCCAATAAAAAAAAATTTCTTCATAAATTTAGGCAAGAATTATTCTGCTATGTGTCTTTCATAAAAAAAAAGCTTTTTAATTGGCTTACATTAACCTCTTCACGCCGGCCGCACACAAATGTGCGGCCTCCCGGCATCTGGGCCTAGACGCAGAGCGGCCACACATTTGCCTGTAATTAAAAAATATGTGCTGAGAGCGCGCGCCCCGCGCGCTCCCAGCACACATGTCCAGTACTCACGGTCTCCTCTTTCGATCGGGACCTTTCCCGATCATGTGACCGCCATGATGACGCGTCACGGCGGTCACATGATCCCTAAACCCCGCCCGTCACGCCTCCCGGCTTCTGAAACTCTTAAAGGGCCGGGAGGCGCCAGCGTGAAGGGGTTAAAGTCATAGCGTCAACAAATGGTGGTATATACAGTGAGGAACAGAAGTATTTGAACACCCTGCGATTTTGCAAGTTCTCCCACTTAGAAATCACGGAGGGGTCTGAAATTCACATTGTAGGTGCATTCCCACTCTGAGAGACAGAATTAAAAAAAAAAATCAGGAAATCACATTGTATGATTTATAAAGAATGTATTTGTCTTGCACTGCTGAACATAAGTATTTGAACGCCTGAGAAAATCAGTGTTAATATTTGGTACAGAAGCCTTTGTTTGCAATTACAGAGGTCAAACGTTTCCTGTAGTTCTTGACCAGGTTTGCACACACTGCAACAGGGATTTTGGCCCACTCCTCCACACGGATCTCCTCTAGATCTGTCAGGGTTCGGGGCTGTCGCTGAGCAACACGAAGTTTCAGCTCCCTCCAAAGATGTTCTATTGGATTTAGGTCTGGAGACTGGCTAGGCCACTCCAGAACCTTGATATGCTTCTTACGGAGCCACTCCTTGGTTATCCTGGCTGTGTGCTTTGGGTCGTTGTCATGTTGGAAGACCCAGCCACAACCCATCTTCAATGCTCTGACTGAGGGAAGGAGGTTGTTGCTCAAAATCTCACAATAAATGGCCCCATTCATCCTCTCCTTAATACAGTGCAGTCGTCCTGTCCCCTTTCACAGAAAAGCACCCCCAAAGCATGTTACTACCCCCATGCTTCACAGTAGGGATGGTGTTCTTGGGATGCAACTCATCCTTCATTTTCCTCCAAACACGACGAGTGAAGTTTAGACCAAAAAGTTCTACTTTGGTCTCATCTGACCACATGACTTTCTCCCATGCCTCCTTTGGATCATCCAGATGGTCATTGGCAAACTTCAGACGGGCCTGGACATGTGATGACTTGAGCAGGGGAACCTTCCGTGCAATGCATGATTTGAAACCATGACGGCGTAGTGTTCTACCGACAGTGACCTTTGAAACTGTGGTCCCAGCTCTCTTCATGTCATTGACCAGCTCCTCCCTTGTAGTTCTGGGCTGATTCCTCACCTTTCTTATCATCAGTGATACCCCACGAGGTGAGATCTTGCATGGAGCCCCAGTCCGAGGGAGACTGACAGTCGTCTTTAGCCTCTTCCATTTTCTAACAATTGCTCCAACAGTTGATCTATTTTCAGCAAGCTGCTTGGCAATTGCCCCGTAGCCCTTTCCAGCCTTGTGGAGGTCCACAATTTTGGCTCTGGTGTCTTTTGACAGCTCTTTGGTCTTGCCCATGGTAGTAGTTGGCGTCTGACTGACTGTGGGGTGGACAGGTGTCTTTAAAGAGCTCAGACAGGTGCTACGAAGTTAGATTAATGAGTGGAGTAGAGGGGGACTTTTTAAAGGCTCAGTAACAGGTCTTTGAGAGCCAGAATTTTTGCTGTTTCTTAGGTGTTCAAATACTTATGTTCAGCAGTGCAAGACAAATAAATTCTTTAAAAATCATACAATGTGATTTCCTGAAATGTTTTATAAATTCTGTCTCTCAGAGTGGGAATGCACCTACAATGTGAATTTCAGACCCCTCCATGATTTCTAAGTGGGAGAACTTGCAAAATCGCAGGGTGTTCAAATACTTCTGTTCCTCACTGTATAATGGAATTTTTTTTTCATATCAGTAATGCTGGTGATCAGAAAGCAGGACTGCGATGGGCATTCTGACACTAACTGACACTGGGTGGGAACTGACTAACTGCCACTGACATCTCCAGTGACAGTAATACAGTGATCAGTGCTAATAAATAGCACTGTCACTGTACTAATGGCACTAGGCAGGAAGCGGTTAACATCTGGGGCGATCAAAGGGTTAATATGTATTGAACTATTTTGGTGGTAAAAATGTGCTGTTTTAGGCTAGGTTCACATATGTGCGGGCGGTGCCGCTGCGGATTCGCACAAAAATCCGTACCACCCACACAGAAGAATGCGGACCCGGGGGCGGGTGCCATTAGTTCTAATGGCACGCCGCCCACACTGGAAATCGCAACCGCACTGGGAACCTAGGTTCCCGTGCGGGCTGCGGTTTCCAAAGAAGTGCAGGGACTTTTAACCACTTCCAGTCCAGACACTTTTACCCCCTTCCTGTCCAGGCCAATTTTCAGCTTTCAGTGCTATCACACTTTGAATGACAATTGCGCAGTCATGCAACACTGTACCCATATTAATTTTTTACCATTTTTTTGAGACAGATAAAGCTTTATTTTGGTGGTATTTATTCACCACTGGGATTGTTATTTTTTTTGCTATGTAAATTAAAAAGTCCAAACATTTTGAAAAAAAAAGTTTCTTTCTTATAAAATTTTGCAAATAAATAGTATTTCATCATAAATCTTGGCCAAAGTTTATTCCGTTATATGTTTAGTAAAAAAAAAATAACCCAAATTTTTTATAACCAAAAATTATAATTTTTAAACATTTTTTGTTACTTTTTTTATATTATTTTTTTTTTATTTTTTTACATACTGTCACCCTAGCAGTACAGTGTCACCATGGTGACACTGTACAACTTGTGGGGGGTGATGAAGATTTTTTTTTTTTTTTTTTTTTACACTGATTGCTTTTACACCCAGAAAGGATGTAAAAGCAACCATTTCTCCTGCTCTCTGGCTGCATTCTTGCAGCCATTGAGAAATACTGTGCGAGCTGTGATTGGTCACAGCTTGTCACATGGTACAAGGCTGTTGTGAATAGCCTTGTACCATGTGACCTCTGTGATCATTCACAGATTTCACATGTAGTAAGCAATGATGTCAGAAGTGACATCTTGCTTACAACTCTGCATGTGATCACTGATTGGCCAATCAGTGATCACGTGATCGGGACCTCGTACAGAGGTCTTGTCCGACGATTGGTGTTCCACTGTGTCCAGAGGCTGCACGCTCCCAGGAAGCAAGCACAAGCAGGGTGCAGGGAGGCTGTTTATAAACGGCCACCCGACCCTGCACTGCCACCGTTTGGTGACATCAGGGGTCAGCGGGGGGGGCGGCATGCATGCGTGCTCCAAACCCGGAAAAACAGCGACATGCAGGTACTGTAGCTGCCACCCGTCCGCAGTACTTTGCAGGCAATCTTTAACCACTTGGACAGGCGGTAGCTGCAGGCGATCTTTAACCACTTGGACAGGCGGTAGCTGCAGCTGCAGGCAAAGCGGGTTTAGAGCACGCATGCACGAGTCCACCCCCCCACCCCCCGCTGACCCCCCTGTCATTCATTGTAGGAGTTGTATGTCTGCAGGTCAAACCCAAATTCAAACCTTGCCAGACCATTTGCATGGAAACCTATTACGGTTTCTGAATTTAAAACTTTTTTGGGCCTAACCCTCAACGCAGGTTTTACAAAAAAAAAATGGATGAGTTGCGGTCGTATTGGTACACAGACCCGATTCATCATATGCCTGTATTCTCTGCTGTCATGGCCAGGCATAGATATGATACTATAATGCTCATCATGAATTTCAGTGATAACACACTCTGTCTTCCTCGGGGTGACCCTGAACATGACAGGCTCTACAAAATTGGAACCCTCATAAACCACCTCACTGAGAAATTTTCTGATGTGTATATGCCCCAGCAAAAAATCTGCGTTTATGAGTCCCTCATTCACTTTATTGGCCACGTTGCATTCAAACAGTACATCCTCAGCAAACGTGCTAAATATGGGGTCCAATTGTATAAGCTCTGAGAGGGCCACAGGTTATACGTACAAATTTAGGGTTTATGAGGGAAGAGACAGCGAAGTAGAGCCCCCCTGACTGCCCAGACTACATGGGGAGCAGTGACAAGATAGTTTGGGACTTGGTGTCATCTTTGTTCTGTAAGGGGTACCACTTATACGTGGACAATCTCTATACAAGCGTGCCACTATTTAGACATCTGTAGAATCTTGAAATTGGCTCATGTGGCACCATACGACCTAATCGCCAGGGTTTCCCCCAACGGCTTGTACATACCTGACTTAGAAAGGGGGAGAAAGCCTGCTTGAGGAATGATGAATTGCTTGCAGTGAAGTGAAAGGACAAACGGGATGATTATGGTCTTGTCTTCCATTCACGCAGATGAGACAGTCCAAATTAACATGGTATCTGGCATTCTTGAGAAACCTCTCTGTGTCCATGACTATAACCTTAACATGGGAGGGGTGAATTTCAACGACCAAATTATGAATCCGTACCTAGTTTCCTGAAAAGCTCGACACTGGTACAAAAAAGGGGTCTATTTATTTATTTCAATTGGCTATATAGAACGCTTTTGTAATTTACAAAGTAACTGGACGAAGTGGATTCTTCCAAAAATTCCAGGAAGAGATCATTACGGCCCTTTTGTATCCACCGACTTGTTTATTCAGGCAGCAAGATGGTCTTGCTCTCAGAATATACATAAGTAGGTGTGTGCAGTGCTGTTGGATGAGATTTTTTTATCCGCAGTTAAAAAAAAGAGCATATAGGCCGAAGCATGGGGGCCTGGGGTGGCCAGTGGATGAATGGTCCTTATGCTTTGGCATATATATTTTGTAATATTTGTTGGCACATTTCATGTGTGACCACCATTAGAAGTGGGTGGATGCAGGGAGGTATATTCTAATGGTGGGCATACCACACACTTTTTCTGGCAGAGATATTTTAATAAAAAAGTTGTTTTACTTAGTTACTGTTTTATTGTTAACCATTGCTGTTTTCTTTGCAGGAATGTCATTCAACTGCAGCACCGACTTGTTTATTCTGACAGCAAGATGGTCTTGCTCTCAGATTATACATAAGTAGGTGTGTGCAGTGCTGTTGGATGAGATTTTTTATACGCAGTTAAAAAAAGAGTATATATGCCGAAGCATGGGGGCCTGGGGTGGCCAGTGGGTGGATGGCCCCTGTGCTTCAGCATATATATTTTATAATATTTGTTGGCACATTTCATGTGTGCCCACCATTGGAAGTGGGTGGATGCAGGGCGGTATATTCTAATGGTGGGCATACCACACACTTTTTCTGGCAGAGATTTCTTGTCTTTTTTTCATTCAGCCTACAGGCTGCATAAAAAAAAGAAAGAACATAGCATATATACCCAACAAGGACCAGCGATCTATTGGTAATTCTCTGGATTTTGAATGGTTATACCAGAATGATGCCTACAGCTGCGCGGGCATCATCCTGGTACCGGTTTTTTAAGCCGACAATTGACTTTTATGTAAAAGCAATCCTAGTGGCTAATTAGCTGCAGGTTTGCTTTTACAAGCAGTGGAAGAAGATGCCCCTCCCCTCCCCCACTGCCTTCCACGGCCTTTTTGGGCAGTCTCTTTCCATTGGGGGAACCTGAGAATGCAGCCGGTATTTTTGCCAGATGACCATAAAGCTAATTGGAGACCGGAATGGCCCAATCATCTCTATAGTCTAAGAAATCAGAAGCTACGAGCATTTAATCACTTCCGTTTCGCAGGATATAAACAGTGCCATTTGTAAATTGGGAAAGCATCTGATCACACCGATCTTGATGAGATTAGATAATGTAAGGGCAGAGGAGATATCTAGAGTCTGATAGACCCCAGATTTCTCAAAAACGAATATATGACAATGCCCATTGAAGTTATAAGGGATATTTGCATTCCCTGTGATAGCATTAAAAGTGATTAGAAAAAAAAAATGAAAGGGATAGTGTAAAAAAAAAAAAAAATCACCCTCACCCTCCAGCACGCACGCTTGCGTTTGTGAGCGTTGACCCCGTGTCGGTATGTAAACAGCGGTTGCACCATGCTATGTGAGGTATTGCTGCGAATGCCAGATTAAGGGAAGTAATTCTAGCACTAGACCTCCTCTATAAATCTAAAGTTGTAGCTTGTAAAGGCTTTTAAAGCGTTGCCTATGGATATTAAAAATGTATGCAGTTTGTCACCATTGCATGGGACATGCACAGTTTTAAAACATGGCATGTTTGGTATCTATTTACTCAGCATACCATCATCTTTTAAATGTTACCAAATAATTGACCAATATATTGTTTTTTGTGCATTAAAAGTTAAAAAAAAGTGTATTTTTTCAACAAATTTGCGTCTGAAAAATCGCTGCACGAGTACTATGTGACATAAAAAATTGCAGCACCCACCATTTTATTCACTAGGGTGTCTGCTTTAAAAAAATATATATAATGTTTGGGGGTTCAAAGTAATTTGGTTAGAAGAGTGAGTGATGTGTGGCATAAACCTCTAATGCTGGGCATAAAATGTCCCCTTTCCCCCAAAATGACCCCTTTTTGGAAAGTAGACACCCCAAAATATTTGCTACCTATCCCCCTGCCCAAATCACCCCTTTTTGGAAAATAGATACCCCAAGGAATTTGATATGAAGCATGGTGAGTTATTTTGCAGGTCTTGTTTTTTTGCCACAAGTTTTGGAAAATGAAGAAAGAAAACAAAAACATGTTTTTTCTTTTTCTTTTTTTATATTTCGCAAAACCTTGTGAGAAAAATAATAGATCTGCAAAATACTCACCATGCGTCTTTTTAAATTACCTTGCGGTGTCACTTTCCGAAAAGGATCATTTCGGGGGGTGGTTTGGTGCTATCCTGGTATTTTAGCACCTCAGGCCTCAGGGCCTCTGAAACTGTGATAGGTAGTGAGGAAGTGAAATGAGGAAAGTTACACACCTTCAGGCTTTCAAAGTGGGTCATTGGATTTCAGGCTCCTGTAATGTGGCTATGGCTTTCCGAAAGGTCTCACATATTGGTATCCCCATATTTGGTAAAAGTAGCAGAATATATTTTGGGTGTAAAACTCAATACCCTTGGCTTGTGTGAGCAATATATAATTTAATTGACAACTTTATGTAAAAAAAAACTGTATTTGTCATTTTCCAAAACGTGTGGAAAAAATAAATATCTTCCATGGACTCAACAGTCCTCCCAGCAGATAGCTTAGGGTGTCTACTTTCCGAAAAGGGTCATTTGGGGGTGTTTGTACTATCCTGGTATTTTAGCACCTCAAGAAATGTGATAGGCAGTCAGAAAGCAAAAGCTGTGTAAATTCCATTGTCTATACCAGGGTTGGGCAACTGTGGCCCATCAGCTGTTGGTGAACTACAAGTCCCATCATGCCCCCCCCTCTGCCTTTGGGAGTCATGCTTGTAACTATCGGTTTTGCAATGCCTCATGGACTTGTAGTTCTACAACAGCTGGAGGGCAACAGTTGCCCACCCCTGGTCTATACCATAGTTTGTAGACGCTATAACTTTCACACAAAGCAATCAATATACACTTATTGGGATTTGTTTACCAAAAACATGTAGCAGAATACATTTTGGCCAAAATTTATGACTAAATTTGAGTTTACTATATATTTTTTATAGCCAAAAAATAAAAAGCGCACAGGCGATCAAATAGCACTGAAAGAAAGCTCTAGTTGTATGAAAAAAAGGACGTAAATTTCATTTGGGTGTAGCGTTGCATGACCGCGCAATTGTCAATTAAAGTAACAGCGCCAAATAGCAAAAAGAGGCCTGGTCAAGAAGAGGGGTAAATCCTCAGGAGGGCAAGTGGTTAAAGTGGTAGTACACTTAGTTTTTTTTATTTTACCTACAGGTAAGCTTATAATAAAGCTTACCTGTTGGTAAAATTATTTCTCCTAAACATGCACCGTTTAGGAGATATTCTCTCTTCATTTAAATCCAGCTCATGCGCTTTGAAGGAATGGCATACTCAAGAGATCTGTGTCGTGGCCTGGGACTCCCACGCACATGTGCAGGAGTGACGTCATCGTGGCCCGGCCTGTCAGAAGGCCGGAGTTCGCAAACCCGAAAGGAAGACGGGTGAAGATGGAAGCCTCTACAGCGGTGACAGCGTGCCACCGGAGGGGCATTCGTTTTAAGGTAAGTTTTACATAATGTGCTAGTATTTGATGCCTATTAGATTGTTCGCCCCTTGAGGGTCAGGGACTGATGTGAATGTACATACAGTGAGGACCAGAAGTATTTGAACACCCTGAGATTTTGCAAGTTCTCCCACTTAGAAATCATGGAGGGGTCTGAAATTCACATTGTAGGTGCATTCCCACTCTGAGAGACAGAATTTAAAAAGAAAATTTAGGAAATCACATTGTATGATTTTTAAAGAATTTATTTGTCTTGCACTGCTGAACATAAGTATTTGAACACCTAAGAAACAGCAAGAATTCTGGCTCTCAAAGACCTGTTACTGTGCCTTTAAAAAAGTCCCCCTCTACTCCACTCATTAACTTAGTAGCATCTGTCTGAGCTCTTTAAAAGACACCTGTCCACCCCACAGTCAGTCAGACGCCACTACTACCATAGGCAAGACCAAAGAGCTGTCAAAAAACACCAGAGACAAAATTGTGGACCTCCACAAGGCTGGAAAGGGCTACGGGGCAATTGCCAAGCAGCTTGGTGAAAATAGATCAACTGTTGGAGCAATTGTTAGAAAATGGAAGAGGCTAAAGACGACTGTCAGTCTCACTCGGACTGGGGCTCCATGCAAGGTCTCACCTCGTGGGGTATCACTGATGATAAGAAAGGTGAGGAATCAGCCCAGAACTACAAGGGAGGAGCTGGTCAATGACATGAAGAGAGCTTGGACCACAGTTTCAAATGTCACTGTCGGTAGAACACTACGCCGTCATGGTTTCAAATCATGCATTGCACGGAAGGTTCCCCTGCTCAAGTCATCACATGTCCAGGCCCTCTGAAGTTTGCCAATGACCATCTGGATGATCCAGAGGAGGCATGGGAGAAAGTCATGTGGTCAGATGATCCAAAAAGTAGAACTTTTTGGTCTAAACTTCACTCGTCGTGTTTGGAGGAAAAAGAAGGACGAGTTGCATCCCGAGAACACCATCCCTACTGTGAAGCATGGGGGTGGTTACATCATGCTTTGGGGGTCCTTTTCTGCGAAGGGGACAGGACGACTGCACTGTATTAAGGAGAGGATGAATGGGGCCATATTTGTGAGATTTTGAGCAACAACCTCCTTCCCTCAGTCAGAGCATTGAAGATGGGTTGTGGTTGGGTCTTCCAACATGACAACGACCCGAAGCACACAGCCAGGATAACCAAGGAGTGGCTCCGTAAGAAGCATATCAAGGTTCTGGAGTGGCCTAGCCAGTCTCCTGACCTAAATCCAATAGAACGTCTTTGGAGGGAGCTGAAAACACCATGTTGCTCAGGGACAGCCCCGAAACCTGACAGATCTAGAGGAGATCTGTGTGGAGGAGTGGGCCAAAATCCCTGTTGTTAGTGTGTGCAAACCTGGTCAAGAACTACAGGAAACGTTTGACCTCTGTAATTGCAAACAAAGGCTTCTGTACCAAATATTAACACTGATTTTCTCAGGTGTTTCAAATACTTATGTTCAGCAGTGCAAGACAAATAAATTCTTCCATCCACCTGCCTTTCCACCCTCCAGCCAGTCAGAGGAAGCATTGTGTTCACTGATAAAATACAAGGCTTCCTGTGAGTCCACCCAACTTAGTTTTGTTCCAGCAGAACACAGGAAATCTCCTGAGACACTGCCGGAAAACAGCACCCCATGCTGTATTTAGCTGATACTATTTTTATTAATTACAGGTACTTATATCATTAAATATCTGTTAATAGCTCATTTCTGTGTGAACCTTGAACAGTCGTATCAGGTAATTAAATTGCCTACAAGCAACCTACACTGATCCAGTTAAAGTGTATGTCAATGTGAAATAAAAAGGCAAACATATGCCGTACATATCTGCATTATAGTGCAGAGTTAGTAAAGTTGAAAACAACACAAATCCACCAAGTTCAACCAATAGAAAAAATAGAATAAATAAATAAATAGAAAACCTCCAAATGCACAGCCCTACACCTACAGTTGATGCAGAGGAAGGGAAAAAAAAAACTCCATAAAGCATTATCCAGTTTGCACAAGATAATTCCCTTCATGCACAGATATTCTCTTTTACTTAACCACTTCCCGACCGGCCGTTGTATATAAACTGCCAGACGGTGGCACTGCAGGGTCGGGTGGCCGTTTACAAAATTGGCCTCCTTGCACCCTGCTTGTGCGCGCTCCTCGGGAGCGCGCAGCTCCGCTATCCCGGTGCCCGCTGTGTCCTCCAGACACAGTGAAACACCGATCGTCGGACGGGACCTCGTTGTACAAGGTCCCGATCATGTGATCACTGATTGGCCAATCAGTGATCACATGCAAAGTAGTAAGCAAGATGTCACTTGTGACATCATTGCTTACTACGTGTGAAATCTGTGAATGATCAGAGAGGTCACATGGTACAAGGCTATTCACAACAGCCTTGTACCATGTGACAAGCTGTGACCAATCACAGCTCACTCAGTAGTTCTCAATGGCTGCAAGAATGCAGACAGAGAGAAAGAGAAATGATTGCTTTTACATCCTATATGGGTGTAAAAGCAATCAGTTGTAAAAAAAAAAAAATCTTCATCACCCCCCAAAAGTAGTACAGTATCACCATGGTGACAGTGTACTGCTAGGGTGACAGTATTAAAAAAAAATAAAAATAATAAAATAAATAATAATATAAAAAAAAATGTTTAAAAATTATAATTTTTGGTTATAAACTAATTTGGCTCGTTTTTTTTTTTTACTAAAAAGATAAACGGAATAAATATTTGGTCAAGATTTATGATGAAATATTATTTATTTGCAAAATTTTATAAGAAAAACACTTTTTTCTAAATTTTTTACATTTTCATTTACATAGCAAAAAAAATAAAAATCCCAGCAGTGAATAAATACCACCAAAATAAAGTTTTATCTGTCTCAAAAAAATTGTAAAAAATTCATATCGGTACAGTGTTCCATGACCGCGCAATTGTCATTCAAAGTGTGATAGCACTGAAAGCTGAAAATTGCCCTGGTCAGGAAGGGGGTAAAAGTATCTGGACTGGAAGTGGTTAAACATGTTAATATCCAGTTTCGCAGATTTAGGAGTGCATTCAGCTTTTTTTTAAACAGCTGAGCTGGCCATAACTAATTCCTGAAAGAATCTATTCCACATATTCACTGCTCTTACTGTAAAGAAGCCTTTCCCTAATATGGAGGTTAAATCTCTTTTCCTCCAAATGTAAAGTGTGCCCCCTTCTCCATTGTAATGACTATACAGTACAATGAATAGCTTTGCACCTATATGGACAATGTCTGTATTTAAACCTACCTCCCTTTTTCTGATTCTTGTAGAAGAATAAATTCAGTTCAGCTAACCTTTCCTCATAGCTGAGATCCTCCATTCCTCGTATCGGATTAGTTACCCTAAACAGAAATTCCTCAGGTTTCATCTCTTTAAGTTCCCTACAAGTACAAAAAAATATTTAGCCAATTATTTTGGAGTTTGAATGTGTGCTGGGTGCTCTGTGTCTCCCCCCCCCCCCCCCCCCCCCCCCCCGCAGACCAGTCTGGCTCTGAAGCTCAAAATGTATGTGTTGGGGGGGAGTCTGTTTTGTTTTTTTGGTTTTTTTTTTTTTATGTTTCCTGGAATTGGAGACAGGTTTTCTTGTCTTTTTGATTTATTTTGTAATTGTTCCTTTTGGGTTTATGAATTTTTGCCAGTGTTTATATTTTGCAATATCTGTTAATACTATTTCTTATTATATTCCTTAGGAAAAGTGGACCAACAGTTACACAGACAGTAGTGTGGATCCTGACGAAGTAAATCGTGAAACACATTGATCTATAACTCCATATATGGATATTTACTTTTCATGATGGTTCTTTGAATAGATCAAGTGATAGCCACATTGCATAACATGTTGATTGTTTTTTTTAATTTTTGTAATAAATAGTTTTTATTCTTTATGTATATTTGCTGAGCTCTATGAGGTACAATTTGAGTTCTTCTTCCTTTACCCTCACCCCACATTGTTTTTTTGGCGGACAAAAAGGACATTTGGTAATGGATTGAATGAGGAATGGTACCCATGGAGAATATTATATGTATGACTTGAACCCACCCTTTAGCACTTTGTGGTTTAAGGGTTCTTTCACACTTGACTTATTTCTAACTCCCCTATAGCATTTGACAGGTGTTAGACAGGCGTTTGGAAAGCGTTTTAACGTTCCCAAAACGCCCTATGCGCGGTTTTGAGGCGGTTGATAGGCGTTTGCCAAGCGTTAAAACCGCAGCACAAAACTCATATAATGAAGTTAAATGGTATTAATGCTTCGCAACCGCCTCGCAACTGTTTGCGGAGTGGCACCATAGACTTGAATGGGAGGCTTCAACTCCTCCTGACTTGAGACAAAGCGTCAGTTTTGCGCCGACACGACACTAACGCTTCCGTGTGAACAGCACTGTGTGCTGCCATGTTCACAACTTTTCATAGGCGTTTGAGAAGCGTTAAAAACATTTCCCAAACGCCTGTCTGACGCCTGCTGACAAAGCTAGTGTGAATGTAGCCTAAGAGATACAGAAAAATACCCATTGATCTGCCAGAAATGTACTTAGCACCTAAGTCCTGTTGTGGGCTGACAACACACAACATGGACTGCCTTCCCATTCGTCTTTTGCTAAGTTATTTAAAACTTCCCACTCTCCCATCTCCACAACAGAGGAATCTGTTGTAGTCCAAAATAATAATTGGGAAGGTTAATTAGACTTCTTGAAGTGTGAACAAGAACACAGAACAAGTCTTAATTTTTGACAGGTATTTTTTTTCACTTATCAAACACGTATAACATTTTAAATGGCAGATTAAACAGACCGAAAGGTAGCAAACAGGAGAAGTTTATTGTTAGGGTTTACATACACTTTAAAACTGAACTCCAGAAAACTAAATGGTTTTCCCTTGCAGTGGAGCTGTGGTCGTATTGTAAGTATTTATTGCTCATTTAGTCTAGGGAACCATGAAAAGCAGTTTTAAGTACTTGATCCTCCGCTTCTGCAGGATCCTGTGCTAGACCAGTTCATGCTGCCTCGTCTTCCCTCAGCTCTGGTGGTCTCAGGTTCTCTGATGTCATCAAGACTGATGCAGAGCCCATAGTCCTGCATTGGATATAAGGACACCAAAGGACAGTCCACTGCCAGAGCATAGGAGTAAGCTGTCTGCCAGGGAGAGAAGGATCGGGTAATTGAAAGTGCTTTTCATGTCCCCTAGACTAAAGCAGCCCATAGATTATGCAACTTTCTACCTTTCACAGGTGGAAGTAAAGAAGTTTGCTTGATTCCTCCATCAACACAGTCAGTGTTGAGGGGGTAATCCCTCCCATAGCGCTGTTGTGTTTGGCCAGCATTACACATGCCTTGCAGTGCCTTATTTGGTCTGTAGGTGTCACTTGCTGCTGTTGCTAAAGCATTGTTGATGCAGATATGGACAGGTCTGACACATATGACTACATGATAAAAAAACAAAAATTAACTGCCATGTTTGAAGTCTGATGGTACCAACATTTAAACCAGAAACAAACTTTCCGTTTATTTTACACGGCTACGTTAGCTTTTTCAGCTTTTTTTAGAACTTTTTTCATTAGCATTTAGCAGCATTTTGCCGCATTTAATGGCGTTATTCTGCGTTTGAGGTTTTTGGTGTTTTTTTTACCAAAAAAAACTTTTCTTTGGTTAAAAAACATCCAAAAAAAGCCAGTTTGTGGTGTTTTACTGTGTTTTGCAGCGTTTTTCAGCGTTAGAGCATTTTTACAGCTAAAACACTCCTCTAGAAACCCACTAGTCCTGGGAATTTTTTTCCAGCCAAAAAAATGTTGATTACAGTCTATGTGTGCATGGACACATAGGATAACATGCTGGGGGGTTTACTAGCTGTGGAAAAAAAATCAAAAGCCAAAAACAGCCACTGTAAAAACGTCAAGTGTGCATGAGCACACTTTCAGACAAAGTACACTTATCCTTTTTGCCCAATTGCCCATACCTGATTTAACCCACCCTCATCTTTCCTTCAACGATATGAAGTTTTCCAGTACCGTATGCTGAAAAACAGCCCCACACCATGATGTTCCCACCTCCATGCTTCACTGTTGGTATGGTGTTTTTGGAGTGATGTGCAGTGCCATTTGACCTCCAAACATGGTGTGTATTATGGCATCCAAAGAGTTCTATTTTGGTCTCATCGGACCAGACTATATTCATTCAGTATTTCACAGGCTTGTCTAAATGTTGTGCAGCAAAATTTTAACAAGGTTTAACATGCTTTTTTTTCAGCAATGGAGTCTTGTATGGTGAGCGTGCATGCAAACCATGGCGGTTGAGTGCAGTGCTTTTTATTAGCACTGATCACTGTATTGGTGTCACTGGGGATGTCAGTGACACCAAGTCAGTTCCCCCAGTGTCAGAATGCCTGCTGCAGTCCCGCAGTCCTGCTATAAGTCGCTGATCGCGATATATATATACTGCCATTTGTAGATACTATAACTTTCACGTAAACCAATTAATTTACATGTATTGGGATTTGTTTTAGCAAAGACATGTAGAAGAATATATTTTGGACTAAATTTATGACGAAATGTGATTATTTAAATTTTTTTTCTGGATATATTTTATAGCAAAAAGTAATATAAAAAATATTTTTTTTCAAAATTATTGATCTTTTTTGTTTATAGCGCAAATATTTAAAAAATGCTCAGTCGATCAAATACCACCAAAAGAAAGCTCTATTTGTGGGAAAAAAGGACATAAATTTCATTTGGGTGCAGCATTGCATGACAGCTCAATTGTCAGTTAAAGTACAGCAGTGCTGTATCGCAAAAAATGGCCTGGTCAGCAAGGGGGGTAAATCCTCTGGAGGGCAATGGTTAAAATGTGCTGTATAATAACATGTTAACACTGATTAAGTGTATGCTATGTACAGGAACACTGTACTTTCCAGTTACATTTTCTTTGAGGCTGGCTAGTATACTCTATACTCACGGTAAAGTGACAGGAGAGCTACTCTCACATACAGAAGCCATATTGTGCTTGTCTGCCCTTCCTCCCCCTTTGTCCATTTACAGAAAGCTTTGTGTTCTGCAAACCTTTCACAGATTACAAAGAGTTCTGTGAATGGATGAAGGGAGAGAGGTTGCACAATCAACAATGCAGCTTTTGTGTATGAGAGCTGCAGTTCTCATAGTCACAGTTGCCTGGACGTATTTCAAGAGCTATAAGATCCATCCTCAATGAAAGTGTAAATAATAAAGGAAACATAATATAGAAATAATAGTGAGCGCTTGGTTGTAAATAGCTGCTAGCATTAAGGTAAAACCTCTCACCCTCAAAACGAATAAAATATATAAAATGCAGCATATATATAAAAATAACAATGCAGCATATATATAAAATAACAAGGTGATGTGAGCAGATTTCACTAGCATGGATTCCACAAATTTTTGGACTTCAATTTATATTGCTGATTATATGTCAATAATATTTTACCAAACACCAAAGTCACTCTTTTATTTATATATTTATTTATATATTTATTCACGTATACACTGTATATCTTCATATCACTTTTAGCGCAACCAAGCACTCACGTCAGTCACCTTATGTTATTTTAGCGCTGCATTTTATATATTTTAATAAAGGAAGCATCACTGCATTTAGAATAAACCTAATCAACATTAACATGTTTTTAAACAGAATATTTTTTTTAATTGCCTGGAGCTCTAAAGTTTATGTAAACCTTTACAACAAACCTCTCTTATTTGTTCCGTTTTGGTCTGTTAAGCATCCCATTAAAAGAGTTCTGTTATATTTGTTTGATAAGTACAAAAATATACCCGTTAATCCTTCTAGAAATCGAATGAGCTGATAACAGTAGCAGAGAGCACAGAAAGTTAGCAGTTAGTGTTCCCAATTCTTATATTCTGTATACCACAGAGTCCCTGCCCCTATGTTAGGGAGGTGAGGAGGGGAGAATTCTATAGTCCTGGCAAACTTCCTGTCCTAGGTGACATTGATGCTTGATAGATAC